TTTAATGAGACCACTTTTCGATCAGGACATTTATATTTTTTGTATTCCAGGCTCTTGATTTTTTTTTATTTTAACAAATTCAAGAACCAGGACACAATTGAAACAGAAACATAAAGAAATAGGGAGAAGGAATTCAAAAGGAATTGAGAAAAAAAATTGGTATACAAATAAACAGACAGTATTTTGTTTCTATTTCAAGTTCTTGAATTTTCCTTACATGAGAAAAAAAAAATGGTACATAAGAGGACATTCATGTTTTTTCTGTTCCAGACAAATTCAAGAGCCGGGAATTAAAAAAAAAAATGAGAAACAGAAAGAAAAAATGTAAGACAAAATTGGTTAGATGAGTGGACTTTCATCTTTTTTTCTATTCCAGGCTCTTGAATTTTCTCTGTTTTTAAAGAAATTTCGGAGACAACGAAAACGAAAACTAAAGAGCCGGGAATAGATAAAAATTGAGACGGAAAAATTTAGAAATAGAGAGAAGAAATTCTCATGTTTTTTCCTGTTCCAAGCGCACGAATTTTCTGGGAAATTAAGAGCCGAGAACAAATGAAATTTGAGACGGAAAACTTGAGAAATAGATGAGAAATGTAAGACAAATTGAGAAAACATTGGAAGTTAAAATTTCGAAAATCAAAACGATTAGGTACAGTCTGTCGTCTTTAATCTGATACTCCAAAGGAATGTGAGCTGGTGACTCCCTACGTTAGAACGCCAATGGTCACCTGACGTAACACTTGTTTTTGCCATATGCGTCACCCCGTCGCTCCTAATACGGAAAGTGTCAGATTAAAAATGACAAACAATACGCAGATATAATCGCAAATCGCGAACGATTATTGAAAAGTGTACATACAATATGTCCTTTCATGTTTTGTCGTCATCATACAAGTTGAATGTAAACAAAACTTCAAAGTATCCTTCATTCATCCTTCTTTTGAAGATGTTTAGGAAGTCTTGGCAAACTCAACATTTCTATCATATCTTCATCGTCAATTCAATTCCTTCCAGAAAAAGATGTTTTAATCAGTGTTCTACTATTATTCTTACTAATCCTTTCTGTTATACTCATCGCGACACTCACTGTAATTATCTACAAGGAGAGTTGACAGCCTTAAACAGAAATTTTAGTCAAAAAATATTTTTTTATGAGAAAGCTGACAATGGTCAAAAAAGCTCTGTTCCAACCGACATAAGAACCGCTCTAGAACGGTCAAAATGACATTATGTTGGCAATACAATGTAAAATTGTCAATGCTTTGAAATTTTTTATGTAGAAAAGGCTTGTGTTGCCAACATAGTTACTAAATTTTTGAGATTGGGGAATTATCAATAGTAATATAACTAAATAGTTCAATGGAAATTATTGATAATTTTTGGGAAATTTGCCCGATTGCATTTTTAGTTGAAAAAGAGCAAGAGTGCGTAGTGCACTCGTGCCTTTTTCAGTTAAAAACGCATTAGTGCAAATTTGTCGAAAATTATAAAAATATTTCCATTGCACGAGTTGTATTTAATGAGAGAATTTCATAAATCAAAAATTTAAATTTTTTGTCAAAAAATGTCAAAACACCAGTTTTCGCACCAGTTAGTATGCAATTATCTGATAATTTGCACTAGTGCAAATTATCGCGTAATTACAATCTGATTGGTTCAAATCAACAATCGGAACATGTCAATTTATTGTTGGAATACCAGTTTTGACAGATGTATGAAATTTTCAATAGTAATATAACGAGTGCAATGGAAATTATCGATAATTTTTGAGAAATTTGCCCGAATGCGAAAAGAGCACGAGTGCACGTAGTGCACGAGTGCTTTTTTCAGTTAAAAACGCATGAGTGCAAATTTGTCAAAAATTATAAATATATTTCCATTGCACGAGTTGTATTTTATGAGAGAATTTCATGAATTAAAAATTTAATTTTTTTTTCAAAAATGTCAAAACACCAGAGGCGTTTTCTCGCGTCCACTTTTTTGAAACTGGTTGAAAACTGTTTCGAAACAGTAAATTCTCGCGATAAATCCACGACGTCACGTCAAAATTGGCTCAAACCGTTTCGAAATACAATCCAATCCACGTTTTCAAACCATTTTCTCGCGCCGAGAAATTATGACGTCATGGTGACATTACTTAAACCAGTTCTGAAGAATGTTTTGAAACATTTGAGACGCGAGAAAACTGTTCTTGTACCACTTACTATGCAATTATCGAATGTAATACCACGAGAGGTTTCAGGATTACCGGATAATACTTTTACCTGTCACAAAACGCGTTACGCAGCAACACCACGACTCCGAAGGAGGAGTGGTGTAATACACCATGCGTGATAATCCCAAAAAGCTTATCACTTATTAAGCCTCTCGTGTCATATATGGGAATAAATGTACAGTGAGTTGTATAACTTTAATACACCAAGCGCAATAATCCCAAAAGGCTTATCACTTTTTAATTAATAGCCTCTCGTGTCATACGGGGATAATGCACAGTGAGTTGTATAATCGTGATAATTTGCACTACTTGTGCAAATTATCGCGTAACTCCAATCTGATTAGTTCAAATCAACAATCAAAACATGTCAGTTTATGGTTGGAATGTCAGTTTTGACATATGTATGAAATTCTCTTTAGAAAAAACAGACTTTGAAGTCGTGAGCAAGGTGTCGTGAGCATTAAAAATGGGACACCCGATTTTTCCTATTGTAAAACCGGCTCACCAGCTACACCGTCGACAATGACAAGGATTGTCATATTTGACAAAAAATCCGTTGTACAGAAAAGACTGATTCACCCAAAATATCGAAAAAAGACCTGCCCGTCGGGTGTCCCACTTTTAATGCTCACGACTGTACCTTAAAAACGTAGGTACTAGGTTGAATAACCAATCATCACAGATGACAGATGCTTGACCATTGCCGCCACATTGAGTCTTGGCATTTGTGGTTTGGATCCAAGTTTGGATCAAGGTTGTTTTAAAAGAGGGAGGTTGCCTGGGCTGGGACTCTGTAACACTGTATTGATTTCGAAAAGAGAGAACAGCTAGCTAGAAAACAGCTAGTGCCATAGCGATAGAGATAACGATCGCTATCCGTTACAGAGTCCCAGCCAATGAACTATAGCTAAAAACTGGAATGTGCACACATTGGCCATATCTGCCAAAAAAATGAAGCCATGAAAGACAGATGCCACAAGGGGGAATGTTGTTTTTTTCTGTTGCTCGCTGACATATGACGTTTTTGAAAGTTTTGTCATATTTCCCTTCACAGGTTTCATCAATTGGAATACGTGTTGGAAGCAATTTTTGCCATTTAACATAATGAGTGCGAATAAAACAGGTATCCCCTCCGCAGCAGCCGCACTAGGCTTCACGTTCGTCCTTATGTGTTCGCATTCCAGTTTTTGGTTATAGTTCATTGGTCCCAGCTCTGATGCCTTATGTCATCATATATGCCTTAACATAATGGCTGCGTTCACCAGAACCCTAACGAGTTGTAAGTTGTAAATAGTTCACAAATACCAACAGAATACGTTGGGTAAACTCCTAGGGTAAACTCTTGGTTCTGCTGAACGATTCAAGTTTCAAAAATGGTAGAACGTCACCTTCTGAATGTCATGTCACCACACAAAACACAGTAGGCCTTTTCGGAAATGCTGGCTGATCCGGTTAACCGGATCACCAGCTATTGTACTTTGTCTTCTTCCAATCGTGTTCATTCAAGAAAGGTAGAAAACAAAGAGCGGGTGATCGGGTTAATCTGATCAGCGTTTCCGAAAAGGCCTATGGTGTTGAAAATTATAAACACTCTTAATTTATGCTTTCAAAAATGACGACCGTTTGCAAAACATGTTTGGTTTCAACACAAATTCAACGTAGCGTTCAGCCGAACAATCGTAAAGCGTTTTCCTAACGTTGTATCTGGTGAACGCGCCCAATGCAAATCTCCATAAGAACCACCTGATGACGTCATCTGTTTGCCATTACCAGACAACCTTTTGCAAGCAACATTTTGCCAATGATATCGACAACGTCGCCGAAAATTGGTTCTAGGTGGAGTTTCGCTTGAATCTTAATCGCACTATCTCTCTCCCGCTCACACTGCTGACTGTTCTCTCTCGCTTGGCTGAACTCGACTCGAGCCGACTGGTATCCGACCTAATGAGCGTTAACAATTCGGGCGTGACGACTCAATCTCATTCACTAACCAGAATTTTTTTTTGCTGAACGCGCCTAAACGAGAAATTCAAGAGCCGGGAACTGGGCATAGACAAAAATTGAGAAATCGACGGAATAAATTTAAGCGGAACTGAAAAAAAAATTGGTAAGTACACACAAAGCATTTTGTTTCAAAAACCACCACAAACCGAGTACTCCACTGGGCACTGATACATTAAACTAGAGGAGAACTGATATATCGATACCTACCTACTGATAGGCTCGCAAAAATATCGATATTTTATCATAATTATCGACATGAAAAAGAAGTAAAGACTTTGGAAGGCTGTCGACTGTCATATCGATAAACTTTTTTCTAACGTAAAGTTTAGGCTGAGTTCGGCTTTGCACTCCACATGGACATCGTGACGTCATACGCGGTCATAAACACATAGCCCAACGCGAAAGAGAACACTCTGAGAACTAAAACGAACAGGATCTTTTCGTTTCGAGCGCGCTCAGAGTTTACACAGTGTAAAGCCAAACTCGGCCTTAATTTAACAATTTTATCGCACTAGTACTGTAAAAATTTATTTTTCGAACTAAATTTAGGACGTAAAGAATGTAAAGATGTTACCAGCTTTTTTGCTTTTTAAAAAAAAATGACGACCCTTTGTCAACAAGTCAATCTACTATAAAAAAAAAGTCGTACCACATTGAGTACTATTTTTTTATATACAAAAGTTCCACAAATAAAAACAAGTAGACGCGACAACGTCGCGCGCACTGCTCATTAGGGTTTTCGTTCTGCCAATCCCCCTCCACTATATAAATGGTGGTGGTGCTCAACTCCTCAACCAAGTGTCGTTCACGATTTTTAAAAACAGTGATAGTGGGAGAGCTCTAGAACGGGCGAAATGAATTAAGAGTGGAATCGGCGGCGAAGAGAAAACCCGACCATCATCAGTCGCCGGAACGCAACCGAGAAAGATAGCACGCGGTAACTGTGTTGTTTTTTGTGGAATTAGCGCGTTATTTCGTTAGCAAGTTTTAGCGAGTTTCCCAGTATTTTAACCAGTATCGTTGTGTTTTTGTGTTTTTTTTTATTTTTGGATTAATTGTGTATAAAAACTCAAGGAGAATGTCTACAGCGATAATGTCACAGAATGCCATGTACGAGTTTGGAGATAATTTAATCAAGGTACTACCTAATAATAATTATTGTTTTTTATTTATTTATAAGCCAGCATCAAATTTAAAACCAACTTTTCCATGCGTAGCCGGAAATCATAATTTGCGCCAAATTCAAATTTAATCTAGTCATTTTTGATAAGAGTATAATATTCCTTTACTTTTAACACCATGTAAAAAAGAGATAGAAGCAACTTATCTTAGAGATTTATTGACACTTATGTAGTATTCCTATCTTTTTCTAAACTGGAGTACAATAAAGATGGAAAAAAGTTTAAATTAGATCAATTACAATGCACTTTATTTGAAATGAGAATCCAAATCCAGGTACAACAGGTAGAAACTGACCCTTAGCAAGCAAGACCCAAAACTTATTTACATTTTGTATAGGTAGGTCCCTTTTGTGGGTGAGAGCAACAGGTTTCTTCCAAAATAGAACTTCTATTTGATTTGTCTTTCAACATTCAGCATCTTTCATTTGATTTTCATGAATTATTTGCTTCCTGCAATGTTGGAACTTGAGATTTGAGTACTTTATTAGGTTTGTTCTCGCAGAAATCACAAACCAGTCGGAGCGTTTTTGATTGGTGCAAATCGCCAATAAACAGTTTTCAACCAATGAAATTTGCTCCGACTGGTTTGTAGTTTTTGTGAGAACAGACCTATTATTGCAGCTCACTAGGTATAGTATTTTTAATGCCTATTTGGAATAAATAACCCCATACTTACTTATTTATCAGTCACGAATCAAATGATGTGTGATAGAGTTGAGCACAACAACGGGTACTTCCAAATAGTTATTAAAAGACTATAAGTACCTACCTACTTGATTTGATTCAAAAATTATTGCATTTACCAAATTCCAGGAACCCAAAACAAATTTTGTTATACCTAATTCAATATCGCACTCTCATCTTTCATGAATTTTAGGTTTTTACACCTGATTTTGATTTGATGATAATTCCCTTCTTCGGACTTTCTTGGAAAGTCTTTATTATACAATTTTGGAATTGATTTCTTCCAAAGGGTAAACCAGGTTGGAATTATATTGTACAAGCATGTGGGATTCCGTACTTTAGAAACTCCCCATTTTTATGTAACAACTCGTCAATGAATTAATTGCTGTAGAGGTTCAAAAGAGAGTAGAACTCGTTCACTCATGAAATGTACTTTTTAATCATCAGTTCAAAATTTAATTAACTTTCAGTGAAATTCCAGTGGAATTTCGTGGAATTCTAGTGGGATTTTGTGGAATTCTAATGGGATTTCATGGAATTCCAGTAGGATTTCTGTAGGTTTCCGTAGAAATCCAGTAAGGTATCGTGGGATTCTGGTGTACACATTTTTGAAAGTGGTTTACCCTTACCCCTCAGGAGAAATTGAAAATTCAAGCATTTTTTGTGAAGAATCGTCTACCTTGGAAGGTTTCTTAGATTTCAAAAAGAAATCTTTAAACTTTTTTGATGAAATTTGTTCAAAACTTTTGAAAAATCGAACTATTTTTAACTTCTCATTTTTGGACTATATTTTAATGATTATATACAAGCACTTTCACTCCCCTTTTCTTCCTTTACAAAAAGCATGATCTGGCAGCCTAATTTATAAAAAAAAAGACACCTCACTCTTTTGTAACATTTATGCTTATTTGCCCCTGATGATGAGATTATGGTTTCGAAACATGTAGGGCTCTTTAATTTATTAAAATATTAGTGAAAAAAAGATTTTGTGTTTTTCTTTTGGAATCGAAAATTCAAGAGCCGGGAATAGACAAGAATTGAAATGGAAAAACTGAAAATTAAATAAAGAAGAATTGTCGAAAAATTGAGAAAAAAATGATGGATAAGAGAACATTCATGTTTTTTCTATTCCAGACTCTTGAGTTTCCTTTATTTCGACAAATTCAAGAGCTGGGAATAGACAAAAGTTGAGCCGCAAACGTTGAGAAATACAGCGAAGAAATGTGAGAAAAATTAAGAGAAAACTGGTAGATAAGTGATAAGTGGACATTCGTATTTTTTCTAGTCCAGGCTCTTGATTTTTTTTTTTTTTTTGAGAAATTCAAGAGCCATGAGTAGACAAAAATTGAGAAACAGAAAGAAGAAAAGTAGAAAAAAATTGGTAGATGAGAGGACTTCTTATTCGCAAAACAGGGGAGGCGTGCTCGTACATATTACCAGAAAAAAACCCTTGCATTATGGGCTCCTGGTTTTGAAAACTCTCGCCCTATGGAAGAAATAGAGAAAAGAAATTCAAGAGGAATTGAGTAGAGGTAGATGATCTGGAACAAGATCTGGAATTTTTAAATTATCTGAGAATGGTTGCTACCTCGGTTGCTACCTACAGGCAATAAGACATAGTTACTTAAATGTTGATTTGTTGCGAGAAGAGATTTAAGAGTTAATTGAGTTAAAATTGGTAAACAAGTAAACACAAGTATTTTGGTAGTCAGTGGAATTCCCCCAAAAACTTAATAATTGGTTTGTTTGTTGTTGATCCCTTAATTGTAATTGGTTGAGGTTTTGTTTGGGATTGGATCAAAATAAAACAACAGAAGTCTGTTATTTCCGAGGGGTTAATCACTCTTCGAAATCGTGTCACAAATTCGTCCGAAATCCACAAAATCACTCCGAAATCCGCCGAAATCCCTCCGAAATCTCTCAGAAATCTTTCCGCAGACCCAAAAATCTCTTGCAATTGGCCCAAAATTCATAAACCGGTCAACGCGACCGTTTCTCAATTTATACTAATACACTTTCGAATAGACTTATAACATAAGTTACAGTCTAAAATCCTATTAAAATATTTGCGAAATCATCTGAAATTCTCCGAAATCCTTCGAAATCACACAAAATCCTTCGAAATCACCGAAATCCCTCAAAATCGCTCTAAGTCTGAAATCTTGTCCGGGATCTTGTCACAGTGAATAATCCCTCGAAATGTTTCCGAAAATCTACCGAAATCCCTCAAAATCACTCTAAATCCGAAATCTTATCACATTTTTCCCTAAGTGAATTACCCCTCGGGAGAATCGTCTACCATGAAAGGTTTCTTAGATTTCAAAAAGAAATCGTTAAACTTTTTTGATGAAATTTATTTAAAACGTTTGAAAAATCGAACTATTTTCAACTTCTGTTCTTTGGATTATATTTATTTAATTTCAATGATTATTTACTTTACAAGCAGTTTCATTCCCCTTTTCTTCCTTTACAAAAAGCATGATCTGGCAGCATAATTTATACCAAAAAAAAAACCTCTTTTGTAACATTTGAGCTAATTTGCCCCTGATGATGATATTATATGGTTTCGAAACATGTAGGGCTCTTTAATTTTTTTAAATATTAGTGAAAAAAGCTTTTGGAATCGAAAATTCAAGAGCCAGGAATTGACAAGAATTGAAATGGAAAAACTGAAAATTAAATAAAGAAGAAATATCGAGAAATTGAGAAAAAAATGGTGGATAAGAAGACATTCATGTTTTTAAATTGGTAGACTTCTTATTCTCAAAACAGGGGACGAGTGTTCGTACATATTACCAGAAAAAAACCATCTCATTAGGGGCTCCTGAGTTTGAAAAAGGAATTGAGTGAAGTTTGATGATCTGGAATCTTTATATTATCTGAGAATGGTTGTTACAGGCAATAAGACATAGTTACTTAAAGGACCCCGCACACCACTTATGGGTTTTTGGTTTTCTGTCGAACTCAATGAAATTTTGATATGTGATAGACCTTGACTTCCTGATAAAAAGTTCTCATGGGCCCGAACCAATCCTATGATTAGTTTTTGAGATACAGGTACTTTAATGTCCAAGAAATGTACACATTTTATATGTATTCACATCTACCTATCAACTAATATTAGGTCTGTTTCTGCAAAAATCACAAACCCGTCAGAGCGAATTTGATTAGTCGAAAACAGTCAGAAACAGTCAGAAAACTAGTTTCAACCAATGAAATTCACTCTGACAGACCTATTAATAGGTGACAGGTAGATGTGAATGCATATAAAATGTGTACATTTCTTGGACATTAAACCACCTGTATTTCGGAAACTATTCATAGGATCGGGTTAGGCCAATGAGAACTTTTTATCAGTAAATCAAGATATACCACATATCAAAATTTCATTGAGTTTGACAGAAAACCAAAAACCCATAAGAGGTGTGCGGGGTCCTTTTGATTTGTTTTCCAAGCTGAGAAAAAGCGAGAAGTCATTTAAGAAGAATTGAGAAAAAATTGGTAGACAAGTAAACACAAAGTATTTTGATTGTCAGTGGAATTTCCCCAAAAAGTTAATAATTGGTTTGTTTGTTGTCGATCCCTTAATTGTAATTGGTTGAGGTTTTGTTTGGGATTGGATCGAAATAAAACAACAGAAGTCTGTTATTTCAGATTGTCAATGTTTCGCAATATATTATTGCATTTTATGTTTATGTTTATGTTTTTTCAGGACACTTCAAAAAGGTAAGACAATATGACTCTATAGAGTCCTAACAACTCCAGTTATGCTTATTCCCATGTATGTACAGTTTCCGAATAATTTTCATCTGATTATATGATTTTGTATATTTTTGTATAAATCTCCAGTCGTAGGTCAATAGGGAACTTGCACATTAAATTAAATATGAAATAAATAATAAAATACAATAACAATCATCCTAATAAGGGCCAAATTATGGACCAACTGGTAAGTGTCTGGTTGTTACCTAGCAGGTACTTTCTATTTTCTAGTGCATAGAAAGTACCTGCTAGGTAACAACCAGACTTTTACCAGTCTGTCCATAATTTGGCCCTAAATGATGTAATTAGGAAAAGGATATAATACCTTATCTCTGGTTTTCAAAATCTTCAATTGACCTTTTCAATTTAGAAGCCTCTCTCTCTGGTGTCAGACTGTCAGACGCCAAAAGAGTATGAAAACAATGATTGACAACTATTGACAGTGGTTTGTTGACAAGAGTTTTATACCTGTGAGACTGGAAACTATTATTTCCTCGGTTTTTTCAAGGTT